GTCTAAATGTGTGATTAGAGCAAAGAGGTTTTCCGCTAAGCCCCTCGTTTCTCCCTCTTATTATTCTTTGTTTGCTTGGTGCTTGTAGTTGTGTGGCAGCGAAGTATCAGTTCAAGTGACTAATGTATTTATGTTCTTAATGATGTTCGTGATGGAGGGACAAACTGGTAACTATTAATCCCACGCAAATTTGACGTTTTGTGCGAATCAGCTAATCAGACGACGCACATCAGGTTACTAAGATCCACTCAATTACCGCAGCTTCAGCCCCGGAGCTCAGAGTAATGCCCACCCTGGCTTGACCGGCATTCGACGCCGCAGTGTCTTTGGATAGACATTGAAAAGCGCCGCAGTGTCAAATGATGCTATGGCAGAGTGAGCACAGAGCTCGAGTCATGCAGGCGGCGTTTCGATAAACAGCAGGTATCGATTGATAGGGTCTCTAACTTTCGGGAAAGTGCTGCTTACTGACCGATCTTTATCAAAATGGGTATGTTGTGGCGTACCAGTCGTATCGAGGAGTAAGGGCTCCAAATCGAAGTGGATGAAATGAGGTTCTCCGCATGGTTGGATGCAAACTTGTCCACAGGGAAGAAGTGACGTTCTGCGATTGTGGTTAGCTTAGAGGGTGGCTGAGAACTTGCCAAACTGCGTCGAACAAATGTTGGCTTAACAAAACAGAGCGCCCCAGAGAATGAATCGGTCCGTCATCATCTATCGCCAAGCACCTCTTAACAACTGGTCACATTGTGAACCCGAATAATGCGTTCAAGGTGTTATTACGTAACAGGAACCCGATAATGTTGTCAATCAGTGCAACGTCGCTAATCAGAGCTTATCGACCTGTGCTATGTACACAGAAACTATTTTTGGCAATCAATCAGATTGCCTTGGGCTTGATGTTGACAGTTTTATTGGTGTGCCAATTTTTCCCATGTATATAGTGGTGTCGGTGTTTCTGCTTGTATGTGTGCGACTGATGAGAATAATCGAAATGTTGACATATCGCAATTTATGTATTCTTTCTCCTTTGATGATTGTGTCTGAGTCGCAACTAGAAAGCAGTCGCCTCTAAGGCAAGGTGGGGGACTACAAAGAACTGGGGGATTAGGAAGAGGGGAGTAGGAGTGAAGTTGTAATGGTGTGTTAAGGAAAAGTTCAGGAAGGCTCGAGCGATAGTTTGATGCAGCAAATAGAGCACCGTTGACTAATCTCTGCAACGGTCAGGGCATCAAACCATTTAAACCAATTATCTTTGTATATCGTGGGCATTATACAGTCAGGTTGCCCAGACATAGAAGGATTAGGACTCTCGACCGCTTCTTTTGTTTAAATACCTGGCCGCAAGTCAGCGGAAATTTAGCAGGAGGCTACAGGTAGTCCGTTTTAAGGAAAATAAGCCAGTTTCTTTCCAGTCCCCCACTAAGAGGCCGGAAGACTTAATTTGTCTTGCCTCTTTTCATTGACCAATCTTGTATAAGTGACTTGGAAGGTGCGAAAAGCATCACCCAGCATAGCTCAAGGGATCGCTGAGGCACGCAGACCATGTCACTGCGATAAGATGCATCTGCCGGCGAGGATTGCTAGCTCAGCCTAGCAGTCTAGTCTGTTCGTCTAAACCGTATGCTTTATCGGCTTTTGTAATCTCCAAAACGCATGTAAATGTTCACACAGACCAGCGCGTGGCCGTAGTCAAGAAAGGTAGGCCAGCATAACCTGCAGTTTCGTGTACTGTTCACACCTGAGTGATTGCGAGGCGCTAGATTTGAGACCATGCCTGCATTGACGAAAACGCTGTCAAGTTGCAGGACGTCTTTTCTATGCGTGATGTCTATCTCCCTCATATGAGTAGTCCACACTGTTCACATGATGACCACCAAAGTGACGTTCACATGGCATAATATGACCTATCCGTGCGTTGTGACCCATTGCAAGTGAAACGATATGAGATGCAAACTCTGTTAAAGAATCGATGAAATTCACGATAAAGGTCTTCTTTGACTATGTCACAGGTACAATCATTTCGAGCACAGGCTATCGAAAACAAACCGCACCTTAATTCCATCACTGTCATCATCATCAACAGCAATATATCAGTCACTTGAACTAATGCTTCGCTGCCGCACAACTACAGCGACCTAGGGAACGAAGAATAATAAGCGGGAGAAACAAGAGGCCTACCAGAAAACCTATATGCTCTCTCTAAGCAAACATTCAGCATCAGTGTGCCTACACCTTGTGTCAACAACATACCGTCACAAACAGCTGGCTATTCGGCAAAGATTAAACGGCATCAGTGAGACAGCTCCCTTGCGGTTTTCACTGCCCCACGTCATAATCAGCCAGTACCCCGCAGGTAACTCAGCACCACACACACTAAACAGGCAGCCCGACTAGGAGACGACAGTAGACACGCCCAGTAGTCCTGTCAATCACCGGATCTTCTCATGATCCCTCCAACTTCTCGAAGCCCGTCGAGCAATTTCTACTAGCGGTAAATACCATTCCCTACGCAAGACTACTAACGCTAAGCTCAACCGGCTTCTGCGGGAAGATCGCGAGGCCTGGTGGACGCAGCGGGTCATTGAGATGGAGCAAGCGGCCACCTCGGGGAATTCCCGTAAGCTTTTTCTCCTGATCCGATCTACTGGCGGCAAAAGACCGACTGTAAGCTAAGTTTGATGCGAAACCAATGGCGAGCCAATGCACTGTCAAAAAACGCCGACTCGAGCATTGGGCCGAGCAGTTTGAGCGGCAGTTTAATTGGCCAGTAGCACCAATGCGTTCCCATTCTGGAGCGCAGAGCGCTCCCTGGTGTGTAGACGCTTCAACACCATTGGAGGCTGAGATTGCCCACGAGCTTCGCCTCTTAACGCGCTACAAGGCTTCTTGCCCAGATGAACTCCCTCCGGCTCATTTCAAAGATGGCGGCCCTATCACCTGAACAAGAGAACTTCCCTCCCCCAAGTGATCTGGGTCACTGAAGTTATCCAACTTGATCGGAGCCCAGCGGCCGCATTTGATCTGCTCTCTGGAGTTGTCTACTGAGAAGGGGAGTGCCGGAGAAGTATATCATCCTACTACGACTACGACCATGACTACGATTACGACCACGACTACGACTACTTCTGGCCGCCCAGATGCAGCTTATCACTCTACAGTTTTCCAGTTGGCATCTGTATACACTGGTGTATTCTTAATTTTTGTTTAGAAGGAGCTCGTCCAATTCCGGATAGATGTCCTATTTCACCGAGTCAGCGCTGCAGTTTAATGGGACGTATACTGCAGCGACAAACAGTCATCGTTTGTCTCCGCGTGACTTGGAAGCTTTGAACGAACCAACTAACCTAACGTCACATATCCGACTGTTCATGGGGATCCAGTCGATCAGGGCAGTTTCGTCCGAGGGCCCAAGGGAATGTCCACTCCGGCTTGACCGGCATTCGAAGCTGTCACCACCAAACAAGAACAGTGAGAAATTGACACCATCATCAAATGTGGGGAAACACAAGATGAGCACACAACTCGAATCTTGCAGGCGGGTTCCCCATAAACATCATACATCGATCGAAAAGGTGACCAATGATTGGGCAGGTGCTGCCTGTTGCTCATCCGTAACAAAATGCGCGCATTGAGGCATGCCAGTTTTACGGCGGATTGAGGGTTCCAAATAGCAACTGATGGACGGACCTCCGGCTGTTTGGACATGGACTTGTCGACCGGACTGGAGTGATTGCCTGTTAGTCGTAACTGGAGGTCAAGCAACTTGTGGAGCAAGAATGGGGGAGGGTTCTGAATCGCTGGGGTTAAAACTAAGGGATAACAGTGAAGCTGGGAGGGGACGATGAAGATGAAAGCGCAAGAAGACGGGAAGGTTTGACAAGTATCGTTCTCACTCGTATCCATCTTGCTCGATGCAGCAGATAGGGCACCGTTGATAATCCTTTGCGATAGCCAGCGCATCAAGAAATTGTTTGCATATTTGATCATTATGTAGCCTAGGCAGGATGTTGTCAGATTTCCGCGGACCTAACCCTTATTTCAAAAACCCGACCTCGGGACGACGGGGTCTTCGCACTGTGCTTCAGAGAGTCAGTTTTATGGCCTAAGGAGTCACCCTTACTCCATCCCCCAATCTAAAAGGCCAGGAGACTGAGTCAGTCTTCTAACCATTGGCCAATCTGGTATGAGTAGCTCTGAATGTGCGAAAAACCACCTAACGGAGATTAGTCGATTGTTAAAGTACGCAAACCATCGTACCACTACAATCCAGTCTTATCGCGATGGGACAACAAATGAACTCACCATTTGAGGGAGTTGAGTCCGATGCAACTAACATCTGAAGTTTTCCATCGGATTGCTTGTTCTACTTCCCTTTTAGCCTTTTACATTTCAATGTCATCATAAGAAAAACTTCCACCATGTCTTATCAGCATGCCCTACCGTCAATTTGATTTCTGCTAGTCCTTTTTCCTATTTTCTCTGTATGTGCGATATTATTTCGCTTTAAATATAGTTATTGTTTTACCTTTGTCATTTGATTTCACGATCCGTTTTTTTTTTTCGTCTCAGTAACTGTTTTAATCTCATACTAGCCACTGTTTCCCCAAGTCCGTAGCATAGATTTCCTTCTTTTTTTCCTTTGACGGCCGCCTATTCCTATCCACCGTTATTCTGTATTTCTCTGCACTAACCCTACACTTTGCCTTCACCTATATTTTACCGACGTCAACGTTGGGTTTGTTTCCCTCTGTAGCTGATATTGGTTGAATTTACTTGTCTTGCCTCCATTCTAACTGCTTGTTTCCGATATAACGAAGTCCATCTTGGTTTGCCACACGTGACACTTGCTGCTAACACATAAATCTTTACTCGCACTGTTCTATCTCCCAACGTTTGGTAGTGCTTAATGACGATTCCGTCTGCTTACGTTCTTAGTTGCATCCGCTTGGTGCTTGAACTTGTCGCCCCTTTGCATCTTTTCCCTATTTCTATGACAGTTTGGATATCTTAGCCTTGGGAACGGCACTCATCAGTTGCCAGAAACGTCATACTTTTACGCCAACAATCCCCAGCTTCTGAAAAGTTTTGGTCCAGTGTCCACTGGTACACCCAAGCGAAATGATCCTCGGTTCGGGCGATATTCTAGTTCAGACGCATGCGCCAATGGTTATCCCATACTGAACCAGTGGGGAATGGTAAGCAAGTTTCAAAATGTCGGTTTGTTTGGTCCTCCTCCACTTATACAAGAAAATGGACACTTGATGCAAGGGTAATCGTTTCTTGATTTATTTATCAAAATTTAGGAATTATGGACAGCGCTCTTACCGCAAGCCCTACCGCAATCCGACTTGGACACCGTCTCCCACTAAAAGGCTAGAACAGGATTTGTTCGATCAACCCAAGCGCGGTCTTAATTTTCAGTTATATGACAGCATACCAGTTACCCAATCTGGTCCAAATTGGACTCCTGTTGAGCCTATAACGTCTTTTACTGAGGTTGATTTACATCAAACCATCCAAGAAAATATTGCGCATGCTCAATATTTGCACCCCACACCTGTGCAGAAATACGCGTTGCCAATTATTGCAGCTAACAGAGACCTTATGGCATGCGCTCAGACTGGATCCGGGAAGACCGCTGCATTTTTACTGCCTATATTAAATCGAATTTTCCAGCAAGAAGAACACGTACCATCGGTAGGTGTATTTGGTACGTGATAAATTTTTAATTGACAGGTGGTAAGCGGGGAGGCATATCCACTCGCTCTAGTACTGGCTCCCACAAGGGAATTGTCCTGTCAAATTTACGATGAAGCTCGGAAGTTTGCTTATCGTTCCGATGTGCGGCTGTGTGTAGTTTACGGAGGTGCTTCCATTGTGACGCAGGTTCGAGAGTTACAGAACGGCTGTCATTTGCTGGTGGCCACTCCCGGCCGCTTAGTGGACATGATCAGTCGAAATAAAGTCAGCTTGGAACATGTTAAGTAAGTTGAATTGCGCTTATTTTGATCCTTCGTCTTTTAGATTCCTTGTTCTTGATGAAGCTGATCGTATGCTAGACATGGGCTTCGAACCTCAAATCCGCCGAATAGTTGAGCAACACCGTATGCCCCAAGCAGGGCAACGACAGACATTAATGTTCTCTGCCACTTTCCCAAAAGAGATTCAAGTAAGCTTGATCCTAAGCAATGTATTTTATAGACTCTTGCTCGGGACTTCCTGCACTCTTACATATTTCTTGCCGTGGGTCGTGTCGGCAGCACGAACGAGAACATAACGCAGGAGGTATTAAACGTTGCTGATCATGAAAAACCTGAATTATTGGTTCGTTTGCTCCAAAATAAAGGTTAGTTTCTCCATCTTGTTCAGGTCTATAGATAGTTTTGTCTTTATGTATGGCTTATCTTTGAAACTAGTAGTTACTTTCACACTTCATGGCATCAACTACTCCCCGATCACATTATCACATAGACTAGACTAACTTATCTCCCACCTTGTGGCTGCATACATATGGGGGTTTTCACTCCCGAGGCTTCCCTACGCTACGCTACTCACTACTTGACAGCGCACTGACGATGTGACCTTGATTGGTGCCGAAACGTCTATTAGTGTGTGTTGTGCTCCTTACTCTTTCAAGACCTTGGATACCAAACCGGCCACTGTTCGTAAATGTGAAAAATGGGTTACTGTCCTTCGGCTGTAAAAAGTGTGTTTTAGATGCACTTTTAACATCGGGTTTTTGCATTGCTCTATATAACTCTCCGCCTTGCGGTTTAACGGGACTAGTTCTAATCGCATTCTTATTCACCATCATGCATACCGGAGTACTACTGATGCCTTTTTTACTTCCCCATCATTCTACACGTTAGTTGCAGGGGAGAAATATCTGGGCTACTGTTTCGCAATACAATACACTAAGAGAGACTGAGACTGTATTTAAGAGCAAGTAGAAAGTTTTCTGTACAACTCTATTATGAAAAATCAACAACATTTAATTGCGAATCGTCAGCGGTACTGTTTGGTCAGTTACTTGTTTATTTTTTGTTCGGTTAGGAATTCGTATTTGTGTCATTATTTCCGTGTATAAGATGTATTTTTCGCATTGTATGTGTGCCGTTTTACAAAAGCACAGGTTTCCGAAATAATCGTCGATACGTGTGTTAAAAACTTCACAGAATCGACCTCTTTTAGTCTTTCTGGTAGTGTATTCCATAAGTTTACGATTCATCGTTCTGTACAAAGCTGATGTGACCCTGGATTTGTAATGGTGTCCTCGGGTGTTACAGGGTTCTGGCAGGTGAAATATTGGCCGCAGTATAGGGAACGGATTCAAAAGTAGTACTCGATGGGTCATAATAAGGTCACTTCTTACTCGCCGGTAGGATAGTATGTAGAGTCCGAGTTTTTCGCAACGTTTTTCATACGGATGCTTTCGTAGACTGTGTATCATTCTAGTTGCGATGTGCTGTATTTTCTCTAGCTTTTCCGTTTCCCACTGGGTTATCGGGTGATAGGCTGGGGCGCCGTATTTAAGGATTGGTCTAATGAGCGAGATGAATATTCGAGGGACGGTTTCTTCGGACCATGTGGAGAAACTGCATCGTAATGCCCAGAGCATACGAAGTCCCGCACGGTGCAAATTCTCTGTATTTTCTAGTGATCTCATATCATGTCGCGAGAGAACTACTTAGTCTCTGACAGATGTGTTGGAGTGGAGCAATTGGTCGTCCAAATTGTATGATAAAGTGGCTGAACGTCTGGTGATACTGATGAACTTCGACTTACTTGCGTTAAGAGGAAGTTGCATTTCAGTGGACCACGTTGACAGTCGCTCTAAGTCATGCTAGAGGCGAGCTAAGTCGTACTGGTTCTCAATGATTTTCCAGATTTTCAACTCCTCTGCAAACAGGGTACATGGTGACTGGAGCTGTTGCGGGAGATCGTTGTTATGAATAAGAAATAATACTGGCCCAAGTACAGTTTTTTGAGGTACGACACTGGTCGATGGGAACCAGTCTGTCAGGTAGTCATTGACCTGTACTCTAAACCAACCTCCCACAATAAACTCGTGTAACCACTAAAGTAGCGTGCCACCGATTCCGTAGGTCCTCATTTTACCAAGGAGTACCTCGTGGTTCACTCTGTCAAACGCCTTACTAGAGTCGATGTACACCACGTCAACATCCTTCCTTTCGTTGAGAGCTGGTACCCACTGGTAGTTTGTGTACAGTAATTTGGTGATGCAAGATCGCCCTTTCTTAATATCGTGTTGCGCTGGTGTCAATACGTCCATCGATTCGAAGAACGACAGCAGACACATTTTCCAGCCTTCTCGAAAACATTGGATAATATCGAAGTCAAACAGATCGGTCAGTAGTTCTCTAATTTAAGCGGGTCACTACCCTTGGGAAGCGATCTCACTATCGAGCATTTCCAGTCTTTGGGGACAGATCCTTCAGAGAGTGATTTATTGAATATGCTTGTCACGGCTAGTGAGATGATACTTGATAGGGACTTGAGTATTAGTGGGTGAAATCCGTCTGGTCCTGGGGGCTTTGCACCATCGAGGTTGACGAGTAGCTGATACACTTCGACTGCATCACATTGTAACCTGTCGAGCAAGACTGGCGCAACCTGTTCCCGTGCTGGAACAGCCGCAGGTCAATTGGAAAATACAGTGAGGAAGTGTGTAGCCAAGACGTCCGCGCTTGAAATGACCGTCTGTCCGTTCAAGCTCTCTAAGACCGGCAGGTCGCCCCCAGGTTTCAGTTGACGTTTCAAGTAGGCAACTATTCTTTTGGGTGCAGTTGTGGCCAAGGATGTTAGCTTCTCTTCAAACTGCCGGCGTTTCTTGATCTTTGCGGCGTTACGTAAGTTTCTCTTCTTGTATACCGTGTAATCTTCATCACAACTCTAGCTGATGTATCTATTCCAACGAGCGGCGCCGTTCTGCCAACCGGCTTCTCAAGCAAAGCCTACGCAAGAATCGCGAGACATGGTGGTCTGAGCGTGCTTTAGAGATGAAGACTGCTGTCCGATCTGGCAACACTCGCAGGCTTTTCCAACTCATTCGGTCCATTGGCCTCAGGAATCCTGGTGTCAGTGAGGTCATATGTGAGATGGATGAGTCTCCGATCACCAACCAACAGAGGCGTATGGACCGTTGGGCCGAGCACTTTCACTCGCAGTTCAACTGGCCTCCACCATCCATCAGTACGGAGTATTGCGGAGTATTGCTCATGTCTGGTGTGAACACCGCGTGAGCAGTGTGGAGGTCCGCCAGGTGGTTTTTGACAAGGTAATGTCGATCACTAGCCTAGAGGTAACGTACTTGTCTCATACTCTTGCGGCGCGGGTTCGGATCCGCCTAGATGTGGGTGTCCTCGCGGTAATCTAAGCCCGCGTGCGACTAGTAGTGGTCACACGACATCGAAGCGCTGTTACGGCGTACAGCTGACACATTATTAATTACTCTTATTATCATTATTATTATGCCCGTTGACCGACTTCCTCGGCGTGCATTATAAGCTGTTGCCGCACCAAGTTGGACGGAACGTCGAGGTGGTCCTTCGATGACTTGGCAGAAAGACATGACGGAACTGTCCGAGTGACTTTATCAGGCTGTTACGCACCATCTTTAAGGATGGGGGCCTGGGGATGGTCCAGACTAGTATTTGAAGACTTTATCAGATATGGCGCAATCGCCCAGACAGTGGCGCCTCTGCATTCGGTTTCTTACATGTAGCTGTTCATCTTCATTTCAATTTGATTTGGTTTGCGCTTTTCTCGTCGGATTCTATTTTCTTTGTATTCTACCTGCATTCCACCACATTTTCTTGCCGTTGTTAATGATGGTCATTCTTGCGATGCGAGTCGTGGCAACTGGGCCCACTACACTTCGGTGCCCACATTATAGCTGTTTAGTTTAATTGATCTGAACGGACATAGCACGTGAGCACTGGGGCGAAGGAAACAATTGGGTGCGCATCTGTAAGCTGGCTGACTGGTTTGATGACAACAGTACGACCATTGGCGCAATGGTGTCAGAAAAGAATGCAGCTTGTACTGCACATGGAGGATGCTGGCAATTCAGAGAAGAAATGTAAATTTCGCTACTTGCATCTGCGATTAACTCGAGAGGTCCATCGCATGCAAGATATATGGTGGGTAGAGAAAGCGGAGCAGGTAGAACGCTACGCCGAACGCCGCCAATGTAAGGAGTGCTATGACTCCTGAAAGGCAGTGTATGCACCCAACTTGCAATCGCTGAGGACGCTGGTGGATGCTGATTCTTGTGCTGCCTGCACGCAGACTACAGACATAATGCAGATACGGCGCACTCACTTCAATTGTCTCTTGATTAGCCGTTCAGAGATTGACTGAACTATGTTGCACGGAATGCGAAAACAAGAAGTGTATGTGTCTTGCTGACACACGGACACTGCATGACATTCGAACAGCACTTGCTCAGCTGCGCAACGGCAAGTGCGCTGAAGCCGACGGGATACCGCCAGACGTGTTGAAATACGCGGACTTGCGTTGATACATGCGCTGCACCACTTGGTGAAACACGTACTTTGAAGAGGAAGTGTCACCTGAATTGAAGGATGCCATTGTGCTACCATTACACAAGGGTAAAAGGAGCAAGCAATGTGCTAACACCTGTACCTATACGATTCTCTGTCGTGTATAGTAGTGCATGCTGGTCTTTTTCGTCATTGGGGATATCACCTGAGACATCCCAATGACCAACGTCTCGGGGATGAGAAATTGACATGTAAAAAGTGCACTCGTCGCTTCGCATCAGCTCGGGCTATAATAACTCACTATCGTCCGATATACCCTACCGACTACCTCGATTAATTGTACAGAAGTTGAAGATCTGCAACTTTTACAACATGCAACGGACTTGTGTTCGACAGTTACATCCCTGAAGCAACTCCTTTCCAGACTGCAAACTCAGCACCCCGCTCGGACCATTGCGGCTATTAAAAGATGACAACAATATCTAAAATGGTAACGTCTAACGTGCTCCCATCGCACATCTAATGCCACACCAGATATCTCGACCGCGTCGCTTACTGCCCAAGGGGACTTTTATCCGCCTCTGATCTGCATCCGTCCGCGCCAGCCTCTCCATCCCCGAATCGCCCATCTTATGATACCTCATCTACGACAAACCTTGATCTATAGGACCTTCCACCGACAGCCTTCGTCCTCCTTTACACACGTGCGATCGGTGGGGACTTTCTTAATACGGCAGTGGAAGCCCGGAAACACCTTTCTACTCACCTAGAAGCGGCGGTTGGCGAAGAATTAAAGGTACCATTTAATTTTAATTATTTC